TGCAGAAGTTCAAGAGCTTCAACAATCTTTGTATTGATACGTGTAGGATGGCTCTTTCTGCTTTGTTTGCCCATCTCACACGCTGCACACAGATGTTCCTTATCAAACTTGAGAAGAGGAAGGCCTCGAACATGGTCACCAAGCACCAACTTATTAATGTCTTTGAAGTTCAGGTGCGATAGGCGTCGATGCCACAACCAGCTTTCATCTGTGTTCGCCTTTGATACCAGGCATATTGTTGGTTTTCCTCGAATTGGGTTGAGATTTAAAGGATACATCTCTCCTTTGCGTTCAGACTTCAACAGAACCTTTTTAGATTGCTTCTCAATTATTTCTGAACCCTCATCATCAAATGAAACTTTCAAACCTATTCCCACAACTAATTGTGATACACTGATGAGGTTATGCTGCAATCCTTCCACATACGCTACTTTTCGAATCGAGAAGTCTCCGTTGGTTATCATTCCATATCCTTTGATTGTACCATACGAGTTATTGCCATACTTCACACATCCACCATCCTTTAGGGACCGAAACTCCCTCAGCTCTTCCTTCCTTCCTGTCATGTGACGCGAGCAGCCACTGTCTATATACCATTCATCATCGAACTGCTCGTCACTAATCACCTGCAAATTCAAGCAGATTTAGGAACCCAAAGTTTCTTGGGTCCTGGTGAGTCTTTCATAGAAAAAGGAATTGCAGTAGAAATATCAACCAAATAAGTTCTTGTTATTAGAGTGGACTGATCTTTTCTTTTGATGGTGTACACCTTGATTTTAGTTTTATCTTGTTTAAATTTTGGTGTATTTGATGGTGTGTTGTTAGATGGTTTTGGTGTTTCCTTTTGAATCCTAGGGTTAGCTGACTTTTTCTTATTATTGGAATCAAAATTAGAATCAAGCTTTCCCTTTCCTTTGATGTCCTTCACTGAATTTGATTTTCTTTGGGAGTTGGAAGGACCGAAACTTGACTTGGGACCGAAAGTAGACGTTTTGGTGTTAGCCTTGACGTTTGGACCGAAACTAGACGTTTGGTCCTGCCCGCTAGTTTTGGAACCGAAAGTAGATGTTCGGTTCTGAGATTTGGAATAGTAGGAATTTGGACTGAAATTTTCTTTCCCTTTTAGATTTTCCTTTCCTTTGTCAATTGATTGTTTCTTAGGAGGTACGTAGTTGGGATTTTGAGACGGCCAATAACGTTTTCGCTCATTCAGATTTTTCATGTATCTCTGATTTCTTTGGCGTTTCTGTTCAGCTAACTCCTTCTGAGATTTGTGGATATTGAAGCTAGCCTTTGGCTTTTCCTTTTGAGTTTCGGTTGTCTTAGTTGGAACATTCGGTGTTCTCTTTGGTTCTTCAGGGATCTTTTGTTCCACTTGTACTTGGTTTGTCGAAACTCGAGGGTTTGTTGATAGGTTCAACAACATATCTTCCTTTCACCCTCCATGAGGTTTGCTCAGATAAGCCTATGGTTTCGTCTGCATTATCAATAGGGGCTGACCAGAAGTAATCGTCGCACCCTTCAGCATTGTCTTTGTCGACCAAGATTTTTAACTCTGCCGTTTGTTTTGCAGTGACCCCTGTAACAGCATAGACCTGATTCGGCACAGTTTGAACCTTTTGATAAACCATAGCTTTTTCTTTGAGTTTCTGTGACTTGTCTTTTGACAGGCGAGCGTATTCAACCGAATTTTCAGATATGAGGGGTTTCTCATTCTCGGTTTCGCTTTTCATAAACTCAGAGCAATCAACTACGTCTTCTACTGAGATTTCGCTCATCTCACTTTCCTCATCAAATTCAGACGTATTTTCTAAGTTCATTTTATGTTCTGAAATTAATTTTGCGTTAGATGAGTCAAATGATTGAATGGTCTCGGACTTAATTTTTAACCTATCATTTTCGTCTAAAAGATTTTTGAGCATACATTTATGTTCTTTAGAGTCGATGAAGGTTTCTATTTTGTCCAATCCGATTTTGTAAGCAATGGATGTTTCTTCTGAGGACATAATTGATTCACATTCAGCGATGACTTCATCCTCCTTAAATTCAAGGAAGGGTAAAGTCATCTTATGAATCTTTTTCCCTATTTCACAACTTAAATGCAATTGAGCAATATTAGTATATAAGCACTTAGCAATTAAACAAAAAACATTCCTTTGTTTTAAAAACTTTAAATTGTCTCGTTGCAAATAAATACTTTCATCCCTATCCCTATTTAACTCCGCCTCCTTCAGCTCAATCCACATCCTTCTCTCCTCACTCTTTGAAGACACCCTGCTGAGTTGGTCAGTTAGGTTAGAATTCGCTAAGCGAGTTTGCATGAGACTACCACTTAAGTTAGAGAATTTAAATTTTAATTCATTTAATTCTTCTTCATAATCTGTTACTGGAACTTTAAGTGATTCAATGATGGATTGTACCTTTTTGATCAGCCGATCACAATCGTTGATCTTCTCGCTCACGGGCTTGGCTGCAAAGCACTTGTCCTCAGTTAGGTTCGGCTCCTTACTTGCACCTTCGGTTGATCCACCAGCTGTGACCATCAAACATCTTCCAGCCGAACCTGCATCCTTTGCCACATAAGCTCTTCCATGAGTGGGCTTTCTCACCTCTTCATCCTCAGAATCGGTTGACCAGACTTCAACTCCACCGAACTCATCTTCATTTGCATTTTCCTGCACAATCAAGGCATTTATAGAACTGTTAGATGCCTTCTTTTTCTTGATCTCTTCCAACTTTCGCATGTAGTACGCCTCATCGTCTTCACCATCTCTTTTCTCAGCCATCTTCCTCAGCATGCAATCTTTGGCAAAGTGGTTCTTGCCATGACAGTAATTGCAGTCGAACCCAGAGTCTCCTGCAAGTTTGCTCTCCTTCTTGTCTTCATCCTTTTGAGAAGTATTCTTCGCTTCATCTTTCACCTTCTCAGAACTGTAACTTCCCTGCCAGTTTCGGTTCTTATTGACAGGAAATTTTCTTCGTGCAAACTTCTTTGGATTGGTGACCATCATAGCATATTCTTCGCTTGTAAGGTCACACTCAGACATATCCGACTCCTCTTCTTCTTCTGCAATACTTTTTCCTTTTGAGACAAGGGCCAACGATCCCACACCCGAAACTACCGTCGCCTCCTTGGTTACCACATTGTCATGGGACTTAAGTATTCCCACAAGTTTCGCTAGTGAGTAAGATTTAAACTGTTCATGTGCTTTCACTGTTGAAACCACAGCCATCCATTCTGGTCTCAAACCATTCATGAATGTTACCTTTTGTTCGATCAACTTCCTTTCTATACCATGCTTGATCATCTTGCTTAAGATATGATTGAAGCGATCGAAGGTTTGTATCAGTTTCTCTTCTGGTTTCTGTTCGAAAACTCCAAATTCCGAGAGCAGCAAGGTTTGAATAGAGTGTTCTAGATCTTCATCGGTTGAGTAAAGTTCTTTCAATCTATCCCAGATTTCTTTGGCCGTCGTGCATGAACCAATTAACCTAAAAGTGTCAGATTGCAAGGCGAATCTGATCATTCTCATGGCCTTTACATTACATAGCAACTTGTCCTTCTCATCCTGTGGTATCTTGTCTACATCCGCCACCAACTTGTTATACTCTTTTTGGGTATTAACAGTCATGTTCGTTCCAGAATGAACAAACGGCCCAAGCATGATGGCTTCCCAGATGAGATAACCGTTATCTTCAGATCCGACCACATAATCTTCAAAGTGATGCGCCCACACTTCATAGTCTTGAGTGTAAAGAATGGGAATCCTGGTAGTGGATCCAATGTTGTTAGAGATGTTGATGGGATTTGTTTGAGAATCTTCGTGAGACATGGTGAGCCGCTAGAATCAGACCTGTAAACTTGAGATTAGGGTTTTATCAGAAACAAGAGTTACCATCGATAGGAAGAAGACGGCTTCTATATATTCGATAAAAGCGGAAACCCTAAAGAATTCTTAACACAGAAGGAATGTGTATTGATCACACAGTCTCCTGCTCTGATACCAACTGTTAGAACCATGTTCTATTAGGATCGATAGATTCTATGCAGGCAAACAATTAAGGACGTAATTATGAACACAAGAATGACTTTAAAGATGTCGTATGATTAAAACTTTAACACCTTAGAAGAGCTCGATTAAGAACTTCGACTGTAGAGGTGCTTAGGGTTACAAAACAATAATCAATGATAATCAAGAACGTATCTGATGCATACATGCATGCACTATTTATAGTCTAACCCTACTAGATAATCACGGATGGACATGCCCAATCCGGATATACAAAACAAGCCCATGACGCAACACAATAATACCCAACAGACTCCTATTTAACAAAGTAAGAATTTTTTATTTAATTTTTATTTGTTTTGATTAAAACGAAGTTTGAAATGGATAGAGAGGGTTTTTATAGAGTCATAGAAATATGTAGAGATTCTTTACTCATGTTAATCATTTAAATATTTTGTAAAAAATTAAGCATAACATTTAGCAAATTCGAATTTGAAAATTTTAAACAAATACTCACAGAAAAAATTTGAAAGCTACGTATCTGATTGTGTTTCCAGTCTTCAAGATTTTTAAGGTGTTTTTTTTAACATCTTATGATTTGGCTTACATCTTCAAGTACATGATTCCTGCTAAATAATAGGTAAATTTCCATATATATAGTTTATGTTGGCTTAAAAAAACATAGATTAACAAACAATTGATGATCGTTTACCTTCAATCTTGCTGTCATGAACCCCTATTATTTTGTTTCTTCAGTCGAAATACCTTATCATCGATCTACATCATATATTTAATCAATGTAAGTTTCTCTTCAATTGAGATTTCTTCTGTGGTTGTATATTCTTCTGTTCCATCATCAATACAAATGGAGAAAACATAATACCCTTTCAGAAATTGAGATGGGGGAGATGTTCCCGATGTTGACAGAAATGTCTATGCCTTTGATAATTTTAGGGTTGCGTTTCTATTACAGCCAAAGGTGGGGTGGGGATGACTGATAAGTCTTCGCTGGCAAATTCGGTGAATATTTTTTTAATACTGATAAAAATAAAAACAAATTATATAATAAATGATGTATTTTAATATTATGAATTAAAACAATCATTAAAATAATTTATTCTTTTTTTATTATATATTAAGGCCTCTTATATATTTTCGCTAACAAAAACATTTGCATAATTTTGTTGAGTATATTTACCTACGATATGAATGGAAATATAAACTAAATAATAACTTATAACTTGAAATTTATATTTCGTATTTATTTTACTGTAATTGAAAATGATATTTAAATTTTAAAATACAGTTTTATATATTATGATCAACAATTTTATAAGTCAAGCTAATTTATATATCATTATATAATATATTATACAATATGAATAATTTCAATTGATTTATACCCAAAATCCGTTATAAATTCGTCAAAACATTTTAAATATTAATTAGAATCACATGTTATAAAATTAAAGACAAATAATATAAATATGTAAATTAATAAGTGTTTCCAAATAATTGATTACTTATTTTTTATATTACAATAATTTTTAAATGTCATATAAAATGTCATTTCGATGGTTCTTTATGTTTCTGTTTTAAACTATATTCATAATTATATTACATTGTACGAAATGATAATTTTCTAAAATATCTAGAAGTACAAATTGTCGATCGGATATTCAAACCATAATTGTTAAAATTGCGATCTTGATCGGATATTCAAACAATAACCTCACCTAGGTACATTGATCTTTATCTAACTTGGATCGTTTTTCAGTAGGACCGCGGTAAGATCATAAGATTGGATCGTAGGATCGTTAATATATTTTTTTAACAAAAAATTCAAATATTTTTTTGTAGACTAACTACGTATAATACCCTTTTGAATTATTTATCGTTAAATAATGTATTATAAATGTATTTTTTATGTTTTAAAGTATTTATTGTTAACTGGATGATTAACAGATTGATGGATATGTATTTTTTATGTTTAATATGTTTTTGGAAGGATCTTACAATTCGATTCGATCTTACGATCACAATCTTGCAAAGCGGAAAACGAACATATATAAGATCCTGATCTTAACAACCTTGATTCAAACCACTATGTTTTCGTAGTTTCAACTAATCATTATATCATTATGAACTTACTTACAAAACAATTATATTTATTAGTTATTAAATTTTTTATTATCATTGCTCAATAACTACCATATAAATTAACTAAAATTATTTATAGCTTTCTCATTCGTGGTGTCCACGGGTTATAACCTAGTATATATATATATATATATATATATATATATATATATATATATATATATATATATCTATATATATATATATTAAGTCTCATTGGAAATGGTCTAAATAAATAAGTGCCAAATCCGTGGAAAATTGTGATTAGCATAGCAACTCCAATAATGAGAAACGATTTTCACTAAAGAATATAATTATTATATATATATTAAAATTGTGAAAAATTTTAACAGTAAACTGGAGGTTATTTGTCTCTTTTGGTCCCTGTAGTTGCATTTGTTATTGGCCTCTTTCTTTTAGGGTATATTTTGCCATTTTTTATAATCTTGGTGGAAACGTGTTGTTTCTGCTTAGCTTCACCGCTTCTCGACCCAATCAGATTCTGATTAGTGCCTCTTCACGTGTTCTTCTCTGGGGTTAATCCGTCCACCGATCAACCGCCTCAGATGCTTCTCCATTCTTATCCCCTCTTCTCCTGTTTCTCATTCGACTTTCGCTTTCTTCAATCACAGTTGTAGTACACGATGCCAACGCGCTTCTTCTCCACCTTCTGGCTTACCTGTTACGATCGAGACACCACCATCAAGTATTACCATTAATTGAAAAAGATTCAAGCGTTTCCAATCATTCGGCAACCCACGACGACTTCACAATTTTCAGGTTTCTGGCTTCAATTTTGAAGGTATGTGAAGTTCTACAGCCACGATTTTCATCTTTTTGAGATCGATTTTTATCTGCAGCTGCTCCACCATGTCGCCACCGTCGACGATGCAGCATCAGAGGCTTCTCTCAACAAAAACATTGCTACCAAAAAAACCCTAAAAGTCAGGAACGAGGATGTCTGCCACCGATCGAACCATCTTCAGAAAGACCGGTAACCACAATATCCATTAGATCCTAAATCACTTCTCTTCCTACTTTGCTTCACTAAGGTCACTCTTCCATTTAATTTCTTTTCATTAATTTACTGTATTACTGGTTTATACAGGAGTTTAAAAAGTCAAACAATAAAGAAGCAGCAGTTCTATCTGCATCTCGAGCTGCCTCTACAGTTGTTCATGCAGCTAATGCTACTGAAGTTTCCAGGTTTTTAATTTCTCATATCTAATTTTTTCGACTTTGCTGACTTATTTTGGGGTGTTTGAAATAATCTGTTAAAGCTTTTTGAGCGACGACCTCCTCTGGAGTACAAACCACCTCCTGAGAAGAGAAAATGTCCACCATACACAGGTATGTCATACATGTTATACTATTTAAATTATAATTCATACATTGTAGGTTGAAAAATCTAATTGATTTGCTTCTATTTTCATTTGAAAAGGCATGGCCCAATTTGTTAGCCACTTTGCTGAGCCCACTGATCCTGAATATGCTCCACCAGTAGTAAAGGGTGAAACACTTGTAAGATTCTTCATTTAGCAAACTGTACACATGTAAATCATCCATTGTATGTTAGTTATCTTTTGGTTGATCCTTGATGTATGTGTGTGAATTAGGGCCAAAGGAGGGCTAGGATTCACCAGTTACGTACAAATTTCGAGTTTATAACCTTAACATTGTCATTGTGGTTGACATTTGTTCATTTCGATGACAGGTGATGTTTCTTATGGTTAATTGCAGGGAATGATTGCTAACGTGGTTAAATAAAAGATATTTTGTTGTATAATTTATTGCGAGTATTGTGAGTATAATTTATTGTCAGTATAATTTATTCTCATTTGAATGAAAAATGAGTATTTGATTTGTTGTGTGAAAAGAGGTTATATATGTATATATATTTTAGTTATGAAATGGTTAAATAAAAGATATTTTGTTGTATATAAAACAGGGATCTTTCATACAATTTCTTTAATGGATTCATTCCTGAAAGCCTTGGGGGTTTAACATCAGTTCGAATATTGTAAGATTCTTTTCTCTAACAATAAATATAAATATATAATTATATAAAACATATGAATTATTGTTTTAACAAATTTGGTTTAATTAGGAATCTGAATGGGAACTCCCTATCAGGAAGAGTCCCAGCTGCAGTAGGAGGGACGCTTTTACACAGAGCAAGTTTCAAGTAGGTGTTTATTTTTTTTAATCATAAATAACTTAAATAAAAAAGAAAAATACATAATTATTTATTTACTAATTGTGGGTAATATTAATATATTATGCAGTTTTACTGATAATAAAGGTCTTTCTGGGATACCTGGATTACAACATTTTCTCTCCCCTTTTGTCAGACAATAGAAGGATCGGGAAGAAGTAAATAAAAGTGTCTGTAACTCAGAAGCGACTACGACATGGTAAGGGGGTGAAAATTCTTGAGTGCGTTGGAAAATAAATTGTTGCTGTTTTGATTGTAGAATCAGGAATGGAAGTTGTCTTAACAAAGTTAACAGTTCTTATCCTCCTGTTGCTAAGTAAGTGCAATCCAAATACAGAAACTCCATTTGAATGAAATCACTAAAATACCCCTATTGCTAACTTTTTTTACAGGGCACAAGTGGTGGGTTGGCCTCCAGTTACATCTTTTTACAAGAACATTTTGGCTACAAATTCAAATAACAATGATGAGGTGGATGGGAAGCCTGGACCTGGTGCTTTACAGTCAACCTACAGACAGAATCATTAATTCCGTGGAATGAAGGGACGATGGGAATGGAGCTTCAAGCAGTGGAAGTAAGCATAAAAAATCTTATTTTTTCACATTCATTAATCTCGATTCTTGATTTTGTGATGTTTTTAAAGACACCCGTATTGAGTAATTTGCCAAAAAAAAAGGATAAAAGATAAAGGTTGTCATTTAAAAAAGATTGGTTTTGTTTAATTTGTTAATAATTTTCAACTTTTAAAAGCTCGATTTCTAATCCTAATTTTCTAATTGTTTTTTCTTTTTTTTACCTTGACCAACAAAAACAAGTGCATACATATTGTTTTGTAAATACCTATAATTCGATTCAGTTTTCATCTTCGTGAGAATCATATTCAATGACATTTTTCATACTAAATGGTGAAAAGAAGCTAAACTGTGAAGACTGATGTATGTATTTTTTTGTTTTTTATTTCTTATTACTAGATAAAAGAATAATAACAAGTTTAACAAATAGACACACTTGCTGAAATGAGAACTTAAATAAAAAACAAATGTAATCAAAAGCAAATAAAAAAATCCAAAAATAATTACGAGATTACCCCTTGGTTATTTCCATTTTCAATCCAGCCCTTTTTCCACATAAGCTGCCTCCTGCACCTTTGGCAAATCGATTTCTTTTCATTGATGGTGAGAATGGGTAAGTTACAGGTTGTTAATATCATTTTTGTTCATCATTGGTTTTCAAATGTGTGTATGATCTCATAAAAAGTTATCTAGTAATGGATTCCATAATCTATTGTCTTCCATTCTTTTTCAGTTTCTTTTAATTATTTGATGCATGTATGAAGGTTCTTAGCTTGGTGTTAATGGGCTGTAATAGAAATTACTTATTATTTCTTACATAGATTCAACCATTTTAGTATTGTTTTTTATAAAAAAAATTAGGTATTAAGCCCCTGATGTTTTTTGGAAGGTGTTATATGTTGGATCCTTAGATGGATCCCGTTATTTTAAAATACTCATGTCAGTTCGATTAACGCAAGTATGTTGGACATTCACAACCACAGGTGATTTTTTATCTATTTTTTCATCAGCTATTTTATGATTTTCATTTTTTATAAATACGATGACATTATGATATGATGACATGATGATATGTACAAAATTCTTACAGAAAAATCGGAAACATAACAGAACAAGCCATAAATTCAATCAAAATTGTTAATTTTAGAGTTTGTTCTTTTAAATCGTACCAGTTACATTATTCGTATTGTTATTATTAGTGATACCAGTATAAGATGGTTGTTTATGGAATTGCAGGAGTTCCCTGGACAAAGGAAGAACATATGACGTTTCTACTGGGGTAAAAGGAGCTGATGCAAGTTGATTGGTAAATTGGTCAAAAGATGATTTTTTTTTTTGTTTTTTCGCATCAATTGAATGTTTACACATAATAGCAATGTACTTTACTATGGATATCAATGCAAGCAACATATTTCATTTGACAAAACGAACACCTTCCGTCCCGTGCAACGCACGGTAAACCACTCTAGTGTGTTATTAAATGTGAGAAAGTCGATAAAAAAGATGAAATTTTCAATAAATAAGAAAAATATAATCACTTTCATTTTTAGCATTCACTTTTTACAGCTTTATCTGTGTTTACTTAGATTTAAGTTTTTCAAAAATAAATATAATTTTTTCATTCAGTTAATTCAAATAGATAAAATTTATTCATTTAACTAAACCAAAGGGCTTCTAGCCCAGCAGTATCAGTTAATGTTTTGCTTTTTTGAGGTCGAAGGTTCAAGTCTCGTCGTGGACATATGTGAAATTAGGTGTTATTTTTAGAAATAGATTATATTTGTATTTGCCGATTAAAAAAAACAGATACTACATAGTTGCACCAATTGCCTTGCACTTCACTATGTGTGATACGATATGGTTGTAAAATTCACAAAGATAATCTTCTTATATGTTATTCAAAATAATGGTATAATATTGTAAAAGAAAATTAAATAATATGAAGAAAACACAATCCAAAAAATTGCTTATAAATTTAAATTTGTTTGACTATTCAAAACTAGGTATAACATCTATGTATTACATGAGTTTATTTAAAAGAACATTAAATATGAAATTCTAAACATTTGAGAAGTTTGAATTTATAAGAAAAGTGAAAAAAAAAATATTGAATTATTAAAATTATAGTGTTTTTTCTCTTTTAAATTTAAATAAATAATTTAGATAAATAAAAAAGAAAACTAAAAAGGTATTTAATTTAGTAATTTTGAAATTAGAAGGAAAGTTCATTAATGAAATTGATATGCAATTATTATTACGTTTAAATACTATGTGAACTTTAGTAAAATGGAAAAAACCATAAAATAACATAAGAAATAAAAATTAATTTAAAATAACCAAACAATAATATGTGGCAAAATGAATGAGAATGCAACATGTGACAACTAAATCTTTATTTATTAGAGTAAATATAATGAAATTTAACCCTGATTGTCATCATGTGAGTTCTTTGTCGGACATGTTTATTGTGAACACGAAAACGTCATTTAATAAATCTATTGATAGTTTCTTACACGAGATGAACTTATGATGAAAATTGTCTTAAATTGCTTCTAAAGGGGAGAACGGAATCGTCGGTATTTATATATGGAATATCGACATGATTTTATATGGAAGATTAGGATGAAAGAAAAGAATTTTTCTTATCTATGTATTATGTTTCTGTTGAGGATCGAGTTACCACACTTTGTTTCTTGGTTCTCTATGCCATAGGTGATCTTCCCAAACTGATACAGTACAAGATTGTCTAATGGTAGTTTAACTTAACCATATTGCATCACAATATGTGATTAAGATAAGATAATCGACAGTTGGCAAGCATAATCTTTCTCCAGGTGTGCCTTTCAAGTAACGCAATACATCATCCATGTGTGATATTTTCGGTTGGCTTACAAACTAGTTAAGTTGATTTAAAACAAAAGTCATATCTAGTCGAGTAACAGAGAGATAGAGTAATATCTCCACTAATCGTCTGTACTGTGCTTCTTTAGCTTCTTCGTCATCATCATCTTTGTGTAACCGTAAATTCTGCTCCATGGGAAAACTACTAGGATGAAACCCTTGAGCACCACTATCTTCTCAACTATCTAGACTATATTTTTGTTGACTTATAACAAAACCTTCTTCTAATTTGTCAACTTCAATGCGTAGAAAATACATACAAACCCCAAAATCTTTTATGTTGAAATGCGATTGCAAAAACTCTTTTACTTATTTTATCTTCCCGTTGTCATTACCTAACAGTAGTACGCATTCAACATATAAGAGAACCATAATATGTACAACACCTTTCCTAAGAATAAACATGGAATGGTCTGTCTTGGATTGTTAAAAATGACTAATAATTTCCTTAGTAAAATTTTTATACCAATTTATGGATGCATGTCGCAATCCATATATTCACTTTTGAATTTTACATGTATGATCTTCGTTCTTTATATTGAAACCTTGTGGAACTTTCACATATGTTGGGTTTTATTAAAAAAACAGTTTCTAAAAACATTAAAAATTGCAACGGAAGCTTTAAAATATTGAATAAACTTAAAATCATTTTAACCCACCAAATATCATTTTGAAAACATAGAAAGATCAAAACAACCTTAGGAAGAAAGAATAAAAACTTTTGAAGACTTTGGTTCCTCTTGGAAGGTTAGAACTTGAAGGAGATGGCAAGAACAAAAAGTAGAGTTCCTTTAGAGATATCCACCAAGAATTTGCCAACTTGATATGGATGCTAGTCTATGTAATGATAAGAACCTCTTAAGCCTTTAAGAACAAAACAAAACTTTTGTGTTGAAGGAGAGTAAAATAAAGTATCAACTTTTCTTCGTCTTTTTCTTAACGCTTAAGTGAAAATCTAGAGAGAAGGTAGAAAGTCATAAGAATTTTGTGGTTTTGCTTAGCTTAAAGAGAACATGAGTGAAAGCCTTTCTTAAGGATTTTACCAAGGTCTTTATCCGATGGGTCTTAGTACTTTAAGACCCATGTTTATTCATCTTGTGATGGAATTCCCTTAAAAATAAGCAGGTATGCCAAGTATATCCCTAGCTTTCTCTAGTTAGGTTTTTAAATAAAAGGAAGAGAGATTTAATAAAAATCATCGAACTTTTATATTTTATAAAGTTGTGACATCTTACCTAAAAGACAAAATGCTTTTAAGTCCAAAAAGATGTATATGACATTATAAATCATACCTTGTGATATATTTTGATGCTTAGCATTGAAAATTAATATTTTCATAAAATAAATAATTTCCAATTAATTACAAGAGTTATAATATTTATCAAGAATCAAATTCTTTTAAATAATATATTTGCATCAATTTGTTATTAGTGTTACCCTCTAAGATAATATATTGTTTGTGAATATCATTCTATAATGGTTATTGAACATATAGATCTTTCAATGTATACTTCTCCATCTAAGTTTCCCTGCAAAAAGGCGTTATTATCATATATCTGGTGTACTTCTCTTTTTTTTCTTAGAAACTAACCGATTTTTGTATCGCTCAATTTCCAGGTGGTAAATTTGTTAATGTCCATGTGTCATTTTCTTTAAGCACAGATATATCTTTACTTATGGTGTTTCTCCAATTTGGATCCATGGCTGATTGTGAAAAGTTTTTAGATTCATCATGAGAAGTAATGGTTGGAAGAAAAGCTTTATGAGAGTTAGAATATTTCTTCTATAACACGAAATTGGAAAGAGGATGTTTTGTGGAAGGTTACCTATCATTTTTTAACGTGTTAAAGAAGGCGACAAATCAGTGTGAAATTTTTCGAGATGTTTTGGTGTAGCTCTAGGCTGAGTGTTGAATCTTGTTGTCTATTGTGGCATCTCATGTTGTTGTTGTGGTTGTTCATGATTAGAATTATAGTTGGAGTTGGTGTCATTAACCGTCTCTTGTGGTTCATTAATTTTTTCTTCATTTTTGGCATTATTGTGAACATTTGTCTTATTGTGGCTTTAACTTGGATCAGTCTTGTTTGCGATTTCTTGTTGAAGCTTTTGTAGGGATTCTACAAAATCTATGTTGTCTATATTTTTGTTCATCTAATATTTTTTTCCAAAAAGAAAAACATCTTCAACCAAGGTCATGTTTCTATTTATGGAGGTCTTTTCACTATTAAGATCATAAAGTTTGTACCCATTTTTTCCCATTGGTTAACCCAAGAACACAAAAGGTTTTCCTCTTTCGGCAATTTTATCCTTTTTTCCGAAAAATAAAAAGCATACACAGGGCAACCAAAAACTTTTAGATGCTTATTTGACATAATCTTTCCAAGCAATAATGTTGGTTTTTATTCAAAAATAGTCTATAATAAACTACGAGTTTAGCAACGGAAGGATTTTAAAATGAATAAAGTTGAAACCATTTTAACCCACCAATGATCATTTTGCAAAACATGGAAAGATTAAAACAACCATAGAAGGAAAAAGAACTACAACATTTGAATACTTTGATTCCTTTCGGAAGGTTGGAAGTTCATGAAGATGGTAAAGACTCCAAAGTAGGATCTCTTTATTATTTATCCACCAAGCAAGGATAAACCACTTCAAGATGCTAGTATTCTCTTGTACCAAGCACTTCTTAAGCTTTAAATACTTATATGAAAGAAGTATTAAGGAGAAGCAACTTATATGAACCTTAACTCTACACTATACCTTGCAAGAGATGAGAAGGGAGAAAGCTTGTGAGCTCTCTGTTTTGAGAGAGAAAAGGGAAGAATAAGTAATGGAAAAACTAACTAGTTTTTTTCCCTTATACTTAATTATATACTAATACATGTCAACCAAAGGCTCACACCTTCTTACTATATAAATAATGGTATCTTATGACACATATGGGTGAAAGAGGAAAGACAACAAGCCATCTCTAACCTCTCATGCAGGTTCACAACATTACCAAGGGAGGTGGGGTCAAGTTGTGTCTTTCACTCAAGATTCCAACTAACTAGTTATATGTGTCAACTAGATGATTACTCAAAGTGTCCAAATAAATGTACATGATGTTGGATTAGGTGTCTAAGCCCATAACTATAATTGGTATGTACTTGACCCGATAGTAGCATGATCCTTTTGGGTTGCCTTCACCATAGCAATTTGATAGGATGAATTATAAAGAAATAGGTTAATTGTGATTTATTAATATATTATAAGAATAATATATTAATTGAGAAATCATATTATTTAATTAGTATTGGTCATAAATTAATTTGGTGATCAAAAGAGACTGATTAAATTAAAGGGGACTGATATTGCAATTATCTGATAATTGAAAGTTGGGTTGAGAATCCCTAAGGAAGAGATGGACAAAATATCTTGTGTAGCCCACATAGATTTCATCCACAGGGGCCTTCTAGAAGGATCTTGTGGGCTGCTTAAGGCTTAAGCAATCACATTAGGGTTTTACTTGAAACCCTAGTT